AGTGTCTGACAATTGATGCAAAAATAGACATTAATAAGTACCTAACAATTTTCAAATGCCAGACGGTTTTAAATACCCGAAAGGGTGGTTCATAGGGGTGAACTTGCAAGAAGAAAAAAAATTCATTGTTTACTTTTTGTCTGGCAATCGAAACAATGAAAATTTTTGTTATGAAAATGATAAAAATAAATTGCCAGACGGTTTCCAATGTTTGTAGTCGAGTATCTCTGCGGAAAATTATGTGAAAATTTTTCAGAAACTGTTTGAATTTGATTGCACAACAAGTGGCGTTGCGCAACTGTCGCATCGTGTATGGGCGTACTCGCGACATATTGTGCAATCTCTTCAGTTGTTTTCAAGCGTGATAACAAGTTCTTTTTGTATAAATGGCGTTACCGTTTCTAGTAACTCACCAAAAGTTATGGGGCCTAGAGACATATCTTAATTTTCAATCAACTACTCACGAAATTTAAGCGACTTAGTTCCTAGTTCAATATATCTAATGATATACCCAAGTGTTACGAAAATAAAACTAGACACCCTATGGATTCTTTAATATAATCTTTAATAACAGGTTGTAGGTGTGGCCACTTAGCATATGGTCAGCTTATTGATTTCTATATTAAACTATAAAAATGCGTAAAAAGATATTCGTACATTTGTTACATGTTTGTGGTTTTTTATTTGGTTCCCACGGTGGATGAGCCATCTAATCTGTTTAAGCATAAACAACAGTTAATAAAATAATAAATCGTGGATTATTACAACAATGTACTTATTTTACTTATTTATTTTATTTTACGTTTGATATTGAAAAAACGCTAAGTCAACATTATTGGCTTTATACTTCTTGTATATAAAAACGTAAAACCTAATCTACTATAACATATTTTCGAAATAAAATATTGTATAAAAAATTCCAGTATCTGTAAATTTAACAAGTGGTCCTCGATACAAACGACTATTTATTTATTTCCCATTTCAGATGTTTGAAGTCTTCTGCCACATAAGTTTTATTTGATCTTCGTTTCCAGTATTGACTTTATATAAGCATGGATATCACATAGAAGCGATTTGTAACTCAAAGTAAGATGTCACCCTTACGAAATTCGGACATAAACTCAATTTTCAAACTGAGATATTTGATGCGTGGAGGCAAACAGAGCAAAGGTATCCAATTATACATGTATACAATGTATACAAGCTTAACGAGACAGTCGTTTTCTTAAATATAATGATGAAAAACTGTATAGATAATTATACAGCATCTAATAAAAAGTAGTATACTGCTTAACCATTCTTAAAAATTAGTCCAAAAAACGTTTCTAATCTGTCTAATTGAATCTTGTTAAATCGGTAGTTGTTGGATAGTTTTTTTATACTATCAAGATAAAATAACTCTTCAACTAATAATTTAATATTAATACATATAACAGATAAAAAAACAGTGAGAGAAGAACTGAGCGCATGAAAAACAATTAACTGCAGTATATTCCTCTATAAGAGATAATTACAATTACATAATTTAAAAAATATTAGAGATTATCGACATTTAATGGAAAATTATAAATATCGATACAATAAAAGAGTATAAGCTGTTTATCAAAATGCAATAAACAAATAATAATAATAGGATGTTACAAATTCTGATTCACATACTCTGTGTGGTCCTCACACAAGATATACAGTCAGTACGATGTTTGTTGATATATAATTCCAAGAAGGCACCTGCGTCGCTTTCTTGGAATTAACCGCATTCGACACCCGAGGTAGAAAGACATTGTGCGGAAAATATCAAGGCATGCCCCCACGTTGGATAATTGTTACAGTACTTCCGATAACAGAACTTTTCTTGGAATTCTATCTTAACAAATATCATACAATTTTATGCATTCATTTTCGCGATATTAATTTTATACATTTTAATACTAGAGATTAGTATCTTTCATTACCGACTTTTTAATCCAATTTTTAAACTATTGTTTTGCCGATGTAGGTACTAAATTTAATTTAAATGTCAAATAGTGTACAATTACTACTACAATTTTCACAAAATTTTTAACGAGGAACCTTTACAAAAACTGCATTATTATAAGAACTGTACGTATATTCACACAGTGAAATTATGGCTACTACACCTTTAAGTGATTTAGCCTATTACTGAAAAGATACTTTGTCTAAGATTTATAAAAGACTACTATTCGACATTCTGAATATATCCGATATCTTTATTATTTGGGTGCTTTAAGTTTGACAACCAAGAAAAAAAACATTGTATTAGTTGTGTGAGAATGAGGGTGAAAAAATCTTTATACCCTTATGAAGCGATTAAAGTATTTAGTGTTCTCCAAAAAATATATTGTATGCTTCTGTGGCAAACTTTCAAACTTTTAAAAGACTAAAGTAGGATTGTAGTATAAGTGTAACTAACAGTACATCTAATTCCTGATTGGTGACTATTCATTTTATTGTTGAGCGGCAAAATACCACATACTAAGAAACAACAAATATTTTTATCAGAGATCTTAGAAGAGGCGGAAAAACGAAGTTTTGTTGGGTTTTACACCTTAGCTTCGTAAATATGAAAAGAAATTACTGTTTCATAACTCATTTAATCTCAAGTAAGTACCAGGTAGAACCACCAGTACCAGTACCAGTATCAAGAAGTTCTTCCTATACTATTCCTTCGGAGAATTCATTTGAATATATTAAAATTGCTAATTTGGACCAATGATTGATTTATACTCTTCTTGATCCAATTTTCGTTATTTATAGACAGCTTGTATTCCTTAATGTAGTTTCACACATTGTGTGATCTGTATCTCTATATTATTTCGAACACGTTCTAGTTCAATGTTTTTATAAGTGCTTTGTGCTCTAGTTTTTTCCGTTGAGCAAGTATTAAATTAAACAATTTGGGAAATAAAAGGACCCATGAAAATGTGGTCTGAAATAGTGGTAAGTTATTGGTTTTGTGTTGCTCACCAAAAGTTTCCACAGTCCGAAAATCAATTCTTTCTTACTTATAGCGACCTGAGTCAGTTTTGCTGATGATGCCTACAAAGGCCATAGTATGAATAGAATATTCCAATAAAAACAGTAACTTTTGTGAAATGTTTAGAGAAAAATTAATCAGATGACTTCGAAAAGTTGATAATTAACATTTCTGATGTGCCAAATATCAAACTGGCCGCTGTACCGGTCCCAAGCCCTGGACTCCCCACTCAAAAAATGAGGAAGGGAGGGAGAGAACAAACAATCTCATATTAAAACCTAGGTCACTTTGGCTTTGAAAGCAGCACCATATAATTTTTTAACCATAATATTGATTATTGATTAAGTTGGACAATTCACTTCATTCACTTGATAATTGGAAATATTATTGTATTTAACTGAGGGGTGTGTGCTACCACATGTTCAAATTGTTAATTAATAACTTTTTGAAGTCATTCGATTAATATTCTCATTTCACAAAAGTTTTTACTTCAATATTCTACTCATACTACTTTGCAGCTATCATCAGCAGAACTAACTCAGACCGCTATAAGTAGGAATTAATTGATTTTAGGACCTAAGTACTGTGGAGACTTTTGGTCAGTAATACAAAACCAACAACTTACCACAGTTTGACCAACCCCACATTTTAATAAAGTCTGTTCGAAATCCTTTATTTTCAATAGAATATTTAAATAGAGAAAACTATTTCAGTACATTATTGTTTATTAATATTTGGTATGTTGCTGTTTATTGTTTGTTTTTGAAAAAAAATCTAGGTAAAGTAGCGTCACGTATTTTTTATGAAAAAATGATTTTTTAAATTTTTTTAAATAATTTGGTTTCATTACATACTTTTGAATTTTGTAATTATTCAACTTGAATTTGTAAGTATATAACTGTTTTCCTTCTACGAAATGTATTCATTTTTTTTAGGAACATTTAACCAAACAGTGACTGACACTAACAGAGATTATATGTAACCATGACCTCTTATCACAAAAATGTATTATCGCCAATGTAACATTTTTATAGCTTACTTAACGGATTTCCAAGGAATTATTGAGCAATTAAGCCAGGTATAAATTTTGATCACGAAGTTAAAGGGCTACAGACACCCTATCATTTATATCAGGCTCTCATAATTTATGTATCTTTTCTTTTAGAGCCGAATATGCAGTGATAGTAGTAAGATTTATTTTATTTAATCCAAAGGTTAACTTCTCTTTTACGTAGTAGACATATTTTAAAAAGAAATGTGTTCTGGGAAATGTAAATATTTATTACATATATTTTCTCCGTGCAAGTATGCACTAGAGGTGTAACTAAAAATAACTTCTATTTTCATTAAAGTTAATTTTAGTGTGTAAAAAATATATCCACCGCCTACCATGAATCACTATCAAAATATTTAGTACACCAGTTTTACCATAAAACTATTAAAGTTCACTTTTACTGGTTCCTCTGTGCAATAAGGACTAAATGAATTATACCCTTGGACATTTACCGAGGAATTAATTTAAGACACACTACGTCAACCAGGCCAATTAACACCGTGGAGCAAAAATCAAAATCAATAATGTCTGCCAGAGTGTAAAATTTAATTTATTTTAAATGAGAAAATTAAGAACTAGCACCTCCATATTCACGTAAACTTTCTTAGCTTATAAGCCTGGAATAATATTTGGAGAATATTAAATAGATGGGATGTTGTTTTAGGACTTCTCAGATTATATCCTCTAAGAGGAAGTTGCTACAATAAATCAGTTAACTTTTAACTCTATTAACAAGATCCGTAGATAATAAGTAAAACATATAAAACGTTTTTTTTGTGGCAGAAAATATAGATTTCAAACTATACCTAAAAATTTAGTTACACTCTTTCATTTTATAATTAATAAAAACCCTGAATTTTGGATTTATCAGATTTACATGTATTTCTACCTGTTAACAAGTGAATAAAAACAGTAACTATAACATAACTGAGCAAACATAAAAAAACTTACCTAACTGAATTTTATCTGGAAGTAGTATTGTTGCACTAGTTTTACTGATAAGTTTGCAATATTTTCCAGAAATGCGTGTTAAAGCGTCCGCAGTTTTGACTTCCCTATACGAATAACAGCATCACGAACGAACGTCAGAGAGATACTGGCCAGGATCAGGCAGGATCCTCCCCATGGCGGCAGCCTCCACCAGCTATACTTTCATCCAGAGCGAGGGTACGCTACGCCGAGTCTGCAACAGGGTGCAGAATTTGTAGTAATTCGGGTGTAATGATTTGTACAGGGAATTGCAGATTTTGTTGGACTGCAATCTTATTTTTTGTCTACATGTACAATTTCTCTATAATTTCTAGAAGTTCCTTAGTCCTGTTTGATTCACAAATGTTCATCATAACTACCCATTAAAATATTAACGGGATAAATATTAAAGCAGCTCAAAGATTATTCTACATGATTTTTCTAATAAAGTTTTTAATTGCTATAAATATTGTGTATCTTAAAGTAGATTTATATAACATTTCCCACATACACCTCGTAACAAAATACGGGTATGACAATAAACATATTAATGGCTAGGATATTTAAAATACAAATATCAGTCCAGGGAAATTAGCTTAACCTTGACAAAATTTCCTCCAAGCCGAATGTTTGCACAGACGTTCTACGAGGTGTCCTATACGCAAAAATCACTAAAATCATAACATGGTTACCGAGGATATTGAGGGTCAAAGTTTTTTACAAATATCTTACGTTCTATGCATTGGACATCCATAAGGCGAAAGTTCTAGAGAACTTAATTATCTACAAGATTGGTTTCCTGTAATTTTTCCCAAAACTTCTCCGATATATTCAAGGTCAATGTTTCCAAAACAAGTTTTTTTGCGAATATCTGGCGCCTAATGCATTAGACAGCGATAAAGTTAACATAAAAGTTGTAGAGAATTTAATTAGAATGTAAAAAATTTCACTCAAATTTCACTCAATTTTACTCAATAATGTATCAATTTCTGTCCACATCCGATTGAGTGAAATTTTCACTCTATTAGTATGAGTACAACTGATTGTGAGTGAAACTATTGTCATCAGAAATGAGTGACTTTTACTCAAATCCGAGTTATTGAACAACTTTTGACTCTATTCTGACTACCTATATATAAAACCAATTTAGAGTTAACTTTTTCTCTAATATGAATTAAATTTAACTATTATTGAGCCATTTTTTACTCAAACTTGGTTTTTAATTAACTAAATATTGAGTGAAAGAATAAATCACTGATAAATGATTAGTTTAGTATAAGTATACAGTGTTGAAATTAATTCACTTCGCGAAGCCTCCCCCTGTCCTGGCTGAGACCCGCCAGCTGAGATCCGCCGACGCCGGCTAAGGCCTGTTCTCTTGGCGATCACGCTTTTCTGGAGCATCTAACGGGCCCCTATCAACTGTGGTCAAGATTACAGAAGTAATTTGTAAGTGGTGCCATCTTCACGACTCCATTAAAATTACTCGAAATTAATATACATTTAAACTCACTCAGTAATGGAGACATTTACTCTGATTTAGATACAATTGCCCCAAATACGAGTTTACGAGAAGAATTTATTTGAGTGAAAGTACTCATTGTCAGTTTTAGTTTAAATATAATCACAAATGAGTAAAATGATCAAAATGCCCAATATTGAGTGAAGATGTACTCAATAATTTCACTCAATGGATTCACTCCGAGCCTTTATTGCTTTCACTCATACCGATTTTTTTTACAGAGAAATTGATCTCTTGCATTTTTCCCAAAGCTCGCCCCTTTTTTAGGTATTAAAAGTCAAAGTTCTAAAAAAAACGGTTTCCCACGAATATCTCGCTTCCTATGTGTCGGACATGCATGAAGTCAATGTAATTATCTGCAAGACTAGTCAATTTACAGTTCCTAAAAAATATTTTTGAAATTGCATTCGTTTCCACCTTCGAGGTAGAATACATGGCGCGTATTTTTTACATGGTTTCCCTGTAGTTCTGTTTTTCTGTGATCAAACACTGTCAAAGGCAAAAATACAGGATGTTTCTCTGAATAATTGCATTATTTGAGAATGTAAACATATCAGGTATGTGTTATTCTATTAATTATTATTGAAACATTTCAATTTTAGATTTTATTTTGAATAATTAAGTTAATAATTAAGTTATTAATTGTTTAATGAGTATTAGCGTGGTGTAATACAATACCAGGTGCGACATGGAGTAGTTGTTTCCCGTAATATCAACAGTTAGCAATCTTGTCTGTGAGGTTGAATATATTTTGCATATCTATGTGTCGGCGTCGAAGAATATTCTTTGACATCATTTGATAAGATATTTTTTAATTTGTTTGAATTAGTTTAATAAATTAGTAAAAACTTAAATACAAGTATTCTAGAATCAAGTACTCTTTGAATGTTGTATTCAGGATTCAAGTAATAATGAATACTTTTTGAAAAGTATTCAGTATTCATGGATTGAACACTTTTCAATATTCATACCTAGCTTTGACTAAAGGGCCCCAAAGACTTCCTTCAATACGCGCGAATTGGGCTGCACGAATCTGCACAAACGTGCCAAATATACAGTGTGTGGAAAAAACGGTACGGTTCTAGAGTCGTGCAAAATCTATTTCAGTTAGATATGTTCTCTTGGTTCACGCAATTTGATCCGTACGATCCTGTTCGCACGAATGGAATGTAGTCTGTGGGGATTTAAAACTGCTAAAAGTAACCCTTAATGTTCCGCAATTAGAGACTAAAGTACTTCTAATCATGGATTGAAAAGAAAAATTACAGGAATAAGAAGGATTACTACTGAGGCATATATATTAACGAAATGTAGTGAATTCTGAAAACAACTTTGGTCTAGTAAAGAGATAATAAAATTAAAATGGGAAAATAATGAGTAATCTTGTACAAACACATGATAGGAGACATAATTATAATCGTTCACGAATGTTTATTTAGCGGAACAGATGAAAAATAAACATTAAGCATTTAATCATGATAAATATCTAATTAATTCAGGATATTGGCCGGAAATATGTGAGATCTAATACCGATAGCTTCACCTCAAAGACTCTAAAGAACTAAAACAGAAGGCTATTATTAAACGCATTAAAAGTCGAATTTATATTTGTATTTAATTATTTGTAGTAGTATTAAATGATGCTAAACGTAATATTTTAGATAAACTGCAATTGAAGTTGATAACAAACAGAATAAAACAAAATAAAGAAATAGGAAAATATAGATCCAGTTATTGGTTTGACAGAAAATTTGTGTTTCCAAAATTATAACAACCATTTTTACCATTGTTATTTTAATCTTTTTTAATAAAACTATATTGTTGCTAGATACTGTTAACTTCTGTGAATTCAATTATTTTGAAGTTACTGCCTTCAACTTCTACAACATTAATAAAGTAATGAGAAAAATTAAATATACAGAATGTAACTGAGTGGGGGTCAAATCTATACCGAGGCTTCCTTTGTCTTTTAGAAACACGTATCAATAGTTAAGTTTTTTCAAATTCCGTTGTGTAAACATTATTTTTTTTAACTTTTTTTTTGTAATTTTTGTACCCTGCCGCTGGACAAGCTACTGTAACCTCAAATAACGGCGCGCTTTAGTCACAGCGCATGCACAATAATTGGGAACTGGGCTGTGCATTGTTGTCGAATCTTATATTTAAAGGAAAATTATTCAATTTATTGGTACACCCTAACAGGCCTAGCGGCCTAATTACAAGGATATGAGAATACATCATATATAATTATTATTATAACATTAGAATATTAGTAATAAAAAGTAGGCTAAATGTCAAGATAGTACAAAAATGTAATCTAAACACAAACACACCACTCACTACTCATAAAGAGGTACTGACTGCTATTATATTATTAAAAAGCAAATTTCCGCACCACTCGTCGTGAAGTACTGCTCCTTGTGCACATTACTTTTGTCGAGTGGGTGTTCGCCGCAAGTACACAAAATATTTAATTTTTTTTAAATAATAATTAACCTAGGAAAATACTTAACAAGTAACCTGGTAAAAAACTTAAGCAGTAACCCGATACGACGTTATATGTACGTCTTCTCAAACCAACCTCAGTCACGACCGCTGGAGACGTTTCGACGATTGCCTCGCCAGTAGGCGTTAGAACTAATCAATAATGATAAATGAAATACACAAAAATAAATAGTCTGTTTACTCACAGTTGTGTGAGTGAAGCTTGAAATTTCTAGTTCAATATTAGCATATTGGTGTTCATAGCTCGCATAATTTGTAGCCTGCCACTATGTGGATCTCGGGATACGGAGTTCGTTTGGAATTTAATAACAAATTGTTTAAATATCTTTGATATTACTTCTAACCGTCGACACTGGATAAGAAATAAAATGGCTGTGGTTCTCAGTTCCTACAGACATGTAATATACCACATTCGTCGTCGCTTCCCTCTGAATACTGGTCGCTAATTAGGCAACATACCTGTTTACACGATAGTAACTGCACCATAATATCTTTTTTTCAGAAATCTATTGAAAAATAGCAAAAGTGGTGAGGTCAACTTACAAATATACTTTGCTTCAAATTGGCTTATTTTTGGCGGCCGCTTATGTCATCATTGTTAATTGCAGTTCTTCTACATCCAGAGATAGGTATCCCATTAAATTTATCAGTATTAAGAACATTATAAATGTCTTAAGAAAACACCAGTATATCAGTTTCAGACAACTATTACCATGGTTTGGTAAAGTCATCTTCACGAAAGCTACGCAAAAACTTCATGAAATAAAATGTCATATCTTATTTCTGGGAACAGTAAAGGGACTGTCAACTTGTAGAAAATGGAGCACTAAAAGCAAGCCTCCTAAAATAATTTTCCTGAATTCGAACGGACTGGAACTAAGTTTTGTGGGTAAAAATTAAGGTTACACTTAACAAAATTTACGGTAATATATTCATATCAACTGCTGTTTAGTTAATAGCAAATTAAAGCAAAATTTCTCCTGATTCACCTCTTTTGCCGTTTTTCGGTAGGCCCAATACAGAGCGATATAAATGTAATGCGCTACATTTGGTTCATTCTATGTATTTATTGTATAATACAGG